CTACCTCAACATGTGATAAGCATGTAAAGTCTTTAGTTTCAGAAGTGTATTGATAGTTATTTCTGGGGCATATGCAGAAATGGCCCCATCCATTATTGTTCTATTTCTATGTGTGATCCATGCTACTGAATTTAGAGAGGGAAAATATGTTTGTGAGGTAGGAAGCATTGCGTTGCCAGATTTCAAATGTTTGACTCACAAGTGATCTTCTGAATGCTTTATCCTTTTCATAAAAAGGGTTACTGAAAAATAGCTGCATTTATTGCAGCATCCATTGCCAATGAAATATAATACTGGAAAGTTATGTTTTTATTAGATGTGTTCTAAGCTTCTGTCGTAAGCCATTTAATGAAGTAGTAAGCATTTGGTTACTTCTTTAATTTGTTTATTCTGCTCTCTGAATCAGAAAATATACAAATTTGGGCTGTAATTCTGCATCCCACTAATACAAAGAGTGGGATATGGGCTAGCATACATTGAAATCGTTATCACAAGTATGTCATGGTATTCTTTCCTGCAGCCAGTTAGATCAATAGGATGGTTTATGTAACTAATTTCAGGTTCCTTATCTGTAGATTACTGTAGAAGAGAAGGAAGAATGTGATATAAAGTCTAAAAGAGAATCAGTTTCCAGATGTTTTTATGAATATGCGAATAATCTTTAAATTGATAGAATTCTCTGGCAGCATTGTGGCACAACTGGAACTCCCAATCAGGTTTAGAGTCCCTACCGTTTATCTGTGAATCTTGCACTTTGCTTTAACACAAAGGGGCAAAATTGCTACTTTAGCTTCCCTACTTCCAATTTACATACCACTTATTGTATTTATATGTAATGGGTTCAGCAATAAGGTTATTTTCTGAAAAATTCAAAATGTCAGTTTTGTTGCTATGTTTTCTGTAATTAGGTACAAAAAAATGGTACATAAACACTATTCAAATCTGTGGTGCCAAAGTAATGCCTTCATTAATCATAATGTAAATTGCTGCTCAATCCACATAATTGAATTTTAGTCACATTAATAACTGAATGCCGAATTAACATTTAAATGTTACAATCAAGTAAAGAGGCTTAGATGTAACTATTATTTATACAAACATATATTTTAGCAGTAAAAATGGGTTGCTACATTTTGTCATACATTGTATTGTTTTGTAAGTGTATTAGCATGAAACTGACTTAATTTCTCATATCATGTTTTTAGAAAACTGAGATTTGTTCTGTAATCCGCTTTATCACTAATTTTCCAAAATCAGGAACAGAGAAAAGGGTAATTTAAAAAAGATACTTTGAATGAATTGTTCTCAGTCATGAATAACTTTACTAAAGTTAAAATTACATCAATCATTTTATAATGAAGATAAAAGATTTTCATTGTATATATGCTGTAAGATATATGTTTTCTTTTAATAGATAGTGTCACTGATTTAAAATGTTTTCTGGAAGATGTGTCAAAGAATGATCAAAGATTTAATTTTCTGAAAACTTTAAATATTTCCAAATAAAAGGCACCTTATTCTTTATCTAGAAAAACGTGATTAATTTTAAATCCAATAAATTTCTTTCAGCTTCTGTAAAATAGCTTCTTTTAACTTTTTTAAAAAATAAAAGCATTTTACCATGACAAAAAATTGAATAAAGGACAGAAGAGATTGTTGTAATGCTAAAAAGGGCGGGGGGATAATGAGTTTGTTTCTAAGTGCTGTAAAGGATAGAAGTAGCTTCTGTAACTATGGGGCTTTTTTCTTTTAACGGTATTCTGTTCTGCACTTTTACCTTTTTCTCCTTTTCTTTATCCACTGCTATATGTCTTTTAGCTATGTAAAAACTTTTAATAAAAATTAACACTAAAAAGCACTACTAGATACATGAGTTATTTCAGTGATCAAATGATGAAGACTAACATTTGAAAATGTTTGATCAGGGAAAAACAATTAGTACTTTTTTTTGGAAGACTGGAAACCTTCTGTAGACTTTTTGCTAAAAGAAGAAAAAAGTGAAATGATTTATGGAATTAATGATTGAAAAAAATGAGGAATAAGGCTTTCTTAGCTGTATTAATATCCTCTTCTGCATCCTTGCATTAAATATTTTCCAAATTTGGTAAACAAACTGTGATTACTGCCATTTATTTTGAGTCCAAGTTGAAATCAGAACTGACCAAGGGATACAATTGTCATAGAGACCTATCTCTCACGTTCACTGTGTACCGGGAGCCAAAGTAAATACAACAGATTTGTGTTACAGCTGCTGGCTATATTTTTTGAAGATTAAGATTACTTTCAAGGGAAAATGCAAAAAGCACTGTTGGGGGCCATGAAAAATGTACAAGAATGCAGCCAGGAAAATGCATTTTTACAATATTCATTTCACCAATAATATATAGTTGTTTTGGTTCCCCCCCCCATGCTTTTAAGCTGTGATAGCCATCCAATCTTGTTATGTACATGTGTATGCTCATCAGGTTTGACTGGGAAGGCCTTTTGACTTTCAGTACAAAATGACAGAAGTCTTCTCTTAGGGCTATCAAATCTGAACGAAAAAATCGACAACTGCTAGATGACAGCATGGAATAGTCATCTGGTTTGCTGCACCTCGATCTGGTAGCCTTATGATCTCTCATCAAAATGCAGAAAAGTTAAGAGGGTTACCCACTTTATGTTAGGGTTGCCAGGTCTGCTTCCAAAAAATAGCGGACAAGCGGGGGGGGGGGGTTAAGTAGTAAAAAAAGTAGACTGTACAGCTTTAGATTACGTACCATTTCATCATAAAGCTTTTGAATAAAAAAATGTCCACTATTTTGTTAAAAAAGTAGTGAACATAATGTGAAAAAAGTGGACTGTCCACTCAAATAGTGGACACCTGGCAACCCTACTTTATGTATATATGTTTGTACACACATACACACACTGATTCATTCAGTTTCCACATTCATCTGAATGACTCTGGGCAGCTTAAAATTCTATAGCTGTAGTTCTGTTCAACAGGGAAATAGAAAAAAAATAAGTGGTCTCTACTTGCTTTCTAGTAATAAAATCCTTGCACTGGTAAAACTGTTCTTATCTCTTCTGCCTTATTTTTTCTTTAAATTAGGCCACTGTTTCTCAAAGTGCTGAGCCATTCCCAGTCTTCAGAGCTTGGCCTGGAGTGCTTTCACCCAAACACTGGTGCTGGATGACTATCTAAATATGGGAAGGCATGCGGGGAAAAGTATTAAGCCTCCAGTAAGATTTCTAAACTGAAACACACGCCCCGGGGGGGGGGGGGAGAAATCTCCGGAACTGATTGCGGAGTGGAATTGAAAAGCGGCTTTGTGAACTAGTTCAGACGTTTAGGTGAAAAAGCATCCAGGTTAGGTTCAAACAGCACCAGGTAGAGATGCAGTAGGTTCAAAAAGCTATATTTGGATTGTGTGCTTTGATAGAAATGCCCATCTCACAATCTTGGGTATTAGATGTGCCTGTGTGTTGTTTATTTCGATTTATATATGGTCCCCTATCTCGCAATCTTCTAGCGCAGTGTTTCTCAACCTTGACCATTTTAAGGCATGTGGACTTCAACTCCCATAATTCCACAGCCAGCATTGCTGGCTGTGGAATTCTGGGAGTTGAAGTCCACATGCCTTAAAATGGTCAAGGTTGAGAAACACTGTTCTAGCGGGTGTAGGTGGCCTTCCTTTCTTCCCACTCTTCAATGGTCGTGAAGAAAGGAAAGAAAGCATCCCGACGCTCCAAATTCGCGCGGTCGACGGCCCAGCCTGGAACGCTCCCACGAGAGTCACAGTGTTCTCTGACGCAAGCGCAGACCGAGCCTTTGAAGAAAGGGCGGGGAGGATTCAGGAGAGCAGAACTGGGTGCGGGTGGCGTGTTTTCTCGTGAACTCGTCTCTGTGTGTGTGTGTGTGTGGGGAGGAGAACGCGGGGCTTGGGGCGGGAAGAAAATAGCGAGAGGGATAACCTGGTTGCATGTGTGGCTGGGCGAGAGATCGGTAGCTGCTAGCCTGCTCTGCCGTCCGCATAGGGGAGATGAGCTCAGGCAGAAAGCGGGGCCGCCAGTTCGGCTCTGAGGTGATTTGGGCGGGAAATAAGAGGCAGCGGCTGCTTTGAAGAGCGAGCAGAGGGAGCGTTTTGCGCCATCCTTTTTCCTTCAGGGGCGCATCGGGGAGAGACTTCCAAGAAGGGCGAAGGAAAAGATGGGCCGATTAAGGAAATAGGATACTCAGAAAAGGCTTTCATCTCATTTATTAAACTTTTATTTATATGTAGACTTTCAGCGCGTCTGCATATTCCAATCCAAAATTGTTAGCGTCGGTAACTCACAGGCCAGCAAACGTATAGAGAATGTTAACAGTCTAATAATACAAATAAAATCCTATCCCAAAGACAGCTTTGATACCAAAAAGACATTACTGTGCCTCTTTTAAGAAGCATTTTTCAGTCTGTGTTTCATGTACAGTATATAGTTTTTATAATACAAGTTGGCAACAACCAGTCCCAGAGTAATAAAATGCAGGACTATAATCTTGGTAATACAGTGTCCTACTGGTATATATATATCTCAACTGCTACTTTAGCTGATGCTTAAAAGCATAAAGGGAAGTTTCTGGTGATGGTTTTTTTTAAAGCCTCCTCACTACAAACAGGGACTTTTCTAGCATACTGTACTTTCCAATTACAGTATTTAAATATTGAAACATGAAGATACCAGATAACTGAGAACTGCAACTGATCCACAAACAACTTTAATAAGCCAACAATTCTATAACGTTGGAATAATAATAAAATTGTATTTTAGTCTGTTTTGCAGTTTGCTTAAAACAAATTAGGTTGTTAATTTATGAGATTGGTATATTCAGTTGAACTTGGATGATGAAATAGTTGTTTTATGTATAGTGACAGTAAAAAATTAGACGAGTATTTTCTCATAAGCTCACACTAATTTCATCTGTGAAAAATGTCTTTGTATAGTATAAGAAATTCTGCGCATAAGGGACATAACATTACTGAATTCCAATTAGCTTTACAAAAAGATGCAAGATGCAACTACTCTGTATTCAGATTTAATTAAACAAATGTGACATTTGAATGTTGATGATGTATATTTATGTAAATTTTACTGCATTTAGAAAAACATGGCACCATCAGGAAGAAAATCCACAGGGAAAACAACCAAATTAGCACAAGAAGATTCAGTTGTACATGTCTATAACTTTGAAGATGACCCAAAAAAACATTTGAGTGGTTCTGACGAGGACATTAGAGAAGGTGCAGTAGTCAACTTAATCAATAAAAAAATCCACTATTACACCAGATACCTATTGTTTAGAACTCAAAGTTATCTGTCATATGAAATTTATCTACAGACAGGTTTTGAGAGGTGGAAAGTTGAGTAAACAAAGTAAACAATTATCAATAATTATGTAGAAGTGAACCAAAACAGCCTGATAGACATTTATTTAAAGAAATATATTCATATTGTGCTTATGAGAGTGGAAATAGCAGAATTCTGTTATACTTTTAGTGTTTTAGAGGCATCTGAACTTTTTTCATGCACTAATTCAAAACACTTAAGAGCTCTGAAGTTTATATACAGTACAGTTTTCCAAGTTGTAGCTGTCAGTTTGTTGCACTAAAAACAACAAAAATTCACGGCAATTTAAACAAAAAGTTTTATTGTGACTTAAACTCTAGTCCACAGATGATTACTGTGGACACAAAACTCAAAACTTTTGGACACAGTCTTTACAAACTGATATGCTTTGTAATTTATTTCAGCTAAGATTTTTGCATAATTTTTTATCATGAGTATGTCACTTCAGTATAGTGCTGAAAAAAGTATAGCTGATTCTCTAAAAGCATTAAAACATGTTTTAAAAATTAATTAGAAATTAAGTAATATTTTAATATTTAATGAAACAATTTTGCATGTTAACCCTAAAATCTTTGTGTGACTTGATAGTACAACCTTTTTTTGTATGTATAAATTTTTTAAATGCAGTCTTCGGAATAATAAAATATTACAGGAAGAAATTCTGCTGGGATTTTTGGAGAGCTGCTGTTAGGCTGAATAAATATTGCAGATATAAATGGAACAATACAATTATTGTTCACTCTTCCATATTTTGTTCTGAAATATATTTCATTTTGCTATTTTATTGGTTGTCCTCACAGAAAAATGTACACAGAAGATAATGAAAGCTGGCTGGGTGGTTTTGGACCAGTCACACACACTCGGTCCAACTCGCCTCACAGGGTTATTGTGAGGAAAATAGGAGGAGGAAGGACAATTTATTGTATGTGTTTGCCATCTTGAGTTATTTATAAAAAATATTCCATATAGGATATAAATAAATAAGTAATTCACAATAATTTGATATATCAGGCTCAGCATAGAACTATAAGGGTTTAATTTATGAAAATGTGTAATGTTTTAAATTTGAGTATCGAAAGTATGATTGGATTAGTGAATGTAATTACCATGTCACAGCTTCATTGGCCTCATGCATATGAGTGGACACTGCAAGACACACTCGGTGTTTGGGGTGGTTCACACAGCTTGAGGAACACTAAGGACTGACCTGTTTTCTTTTATCTTTTCCTGATGATGCAGCTAATTAAATTTATATTTTGCTTTTCTGTAAAGATGAAGCTTCAGTGATTGATAAACATGGGAAGAAAAGACCTTCAGTAACTCCTCATGCAGGAGTTGAGGATGATGTTGGGTAAATTGCTTTCTCGCTCATTTTTTTGATGCACAGCTATTATATTAAATGTAATTATACATTTATAATTACAGCAGCTAGAGTTATAGTAGTCAGAAGTGCATATGTATAAAATTTTTCGCAAGTTTGGCACCAACTTACGAGTAATTTTCTGTATATCAACTCAGATACAATATTGCACAGAAAGATTGTCAGGTCAGTGTAAGATGGCATTGCAAAAATGTGTGTGCATGTTTTAAATAAAGTTTGTCTTTATTTTACATAGAAACAAGAATTTATTAAATTACTGGATTGGATCAAAAAATACAAGTGTGAGAAATTTCAAGCATCCAGTCTCTCTTTAAACTAAGAATTGAATTGGGAAATTGATTTATAACCATCACACAGAGCAGAATTTATAAATCCACATGCTAATAGAATAGGACTACCATATTTGCAAAACTGGATGGCCATTAGATAACAAAACATTCAAAAAACACCTACTCTTTGCAACCAACAAATTTTCCTGAGTTTTTCAGACTAGGTATGCTGAACTCCATATTAGATATATTAGATATTTTAGCAATTTATACCAAAATATAGATAGTGCTTGGTTAACGACCACTTATTCAGTGACCATTCAAAGTTACAATGATGCTGAACAAGTTGTGATTATGACTGGCTCTCAAAGTTCTAGCCATCCCAGCACCCCTGCAGTCACATGATTGTGATTTGGATGCTTGACAACTGACTTGCACTTATATTGCTTCCATGCTTTGGCAGTTATGTGATTGCAATTTGTGATCCTCCCTGTTTGCTTCACACAAACAGGAAGCCAACAAGGAAGGTCACAAGTTGGTCAGATAAATCTCATCCCGCTGTCCTCCTGCCTTACTAGCCCACCTGCCCATCCTCCTGGACCCTTGCTGCACTTATGCTGTGCCTCCCTGGCCACTTGCACGCCTTCCCCCACCTGGCATCAGCCACTTATCTATCTCCCAGCATGCTTGCAAGCCAACAAGACTTGCAACTTTTTACCAGCTTCCCTTATGGTTGTTGAAAGCCAGCAGGTAATGGCAAGGAACTTATTGCTTAATGACCCATGATCCTTGCCTAACAACGCCAGTGGGGGTGGCAGCAATTGCCTTTTCTAAGTGGTCATGTGACATCATGTTTTATGACTGTCACTTAATGGAAATTCCAACCCTGATTGCCTTTGTAACACAAGAACTATCTGTATAACTTAATTTAAAATGTTAAAATTGCTCTATAATGCAGATATTATTTTCATAGTAAAAATAGGAAATACATCTATCTGAATTAAGTGAGAGTTGCTTTTAAAAAAAGAAATTATAGAACTGCAACCTGAAATCCAAATTTGGTTTGACAAGGATCCATTTGTTTTTTGTATAGTAAAGTAAATGAACTAATAGTAAGCCAAATAAGAACTATTGAACTTATTAAATAAAGCTTTGCCTCATCATCTCTACAAAATTTGATTCAGTTTTTTTTAATCTTCCACAATTACTTTTATGAGAAGAAAAATAAAGATGAGCATACCAGCAATAGCTATAAATAAAATACCATCATTGAATATCCTCACTTTGATGCTATAATTCTCATCCAGTTAGACATAAGGTGGCTGCAATAAAGTACGCACATGCTAAATACAGAAGGGCCAGTCACATACTTAACAATGGTTTGATTATAATATTATATGTAGGCTACAAATATCTGATTGCTTGGTCCAGAATTAGCTGAATATTCATTGAACTCAGGAATTCAGTAACCACAGTTTAATGATAATACTGTTAGTTATTTCTTCACAGGTAATACCTTCAATTATTTCATTTAATAATATATCTCTATATTTTTCTCTGTTTTACCATATTTTTAATATTGATAGGTGCCCTTCACAGTATTGATTGTGATAATGTTTTAGGAAAGTATAATATTTCAAATATTCAGTATATGGGTACATATTAACTATATAATTGTTATGCTATGTTAAATCTCTATTTTGTTGCTACAAAATAATATGAGAAATATAATTTCTTATAATGTACAAAAATTACTCTTAAAATTAATCTATTTTATAGTGGAGAAGTGCAGAATATGCTGGAACGATTTGGAGGTATGTCATAATTTATGTCACTAGAGCTGAATGTAGTAACACTATTCTACATTCTTTACTGTATTTTAGGTTTCCTACTTTTGTAATTTCTCCAATAAGAGTTGAGGGGTAGGTAGGAATAATATAAACCAGGTAAATCAATTCATAAGATCCTTCAGTATATATTAATATTTGAAGTGCAACATCAATAGTAGGTAAAATACTTTTTGAATACTTAATGTATTCAAAATTGTCAGCTAACATTGAATTAATATATAAATTTCATTCAATTTAAAGTCTATATTTTGTTTTCATTTCTGTGTACCTGCTGGTATGATGGTCTATAGCAAGGTGTTGGTCTTCATGTGCATCAAGTTCTTCCCAAGAACCTAGGAAATTGCTTCTTGTTTATATGTAGTTTATTATATAATTTACTCACAATCATTTAAACCAGAGGTTCCCAACCGGTTCCGTGGAGAAAGGTTTTTCCATGGACCAGAAAGTATGTGATTTTGTGTGTTACCTGCACCCCACAGATGGAGCTTTGCTTGTTTGTATGGACCAGTTGCTGGCATGCTGTGGCCCGTACCGGTCCACGGACTGGGGGTTGGGGACCCTTGATTTAAACTTTATCAGGTTTATAGCATATTCTTAAATTGTTAATTAATGCATTTCCAGTTTGGTTCTCAAGTGAAGTTAAACTTTTGAAATGGCCTTACTGAAAAACTTTCAAGGATTAAGTGGAACTGTAAGGAAATCCCGTTTTACTGCTTTTTCTGTTGATCATCATACATTAGGGCACATTATGTTTACCAGTACAGTTTGGTATTGTAGTAGAATTTATCCATTTGATAATGTTAATGATTCAATATTTATCAGCATACTGGCTTATTGAAAATATTACAGGTAGGTGTACAATGTATATAATACTCAAAAGTAGTCTGAAAAGTTGCTATAGTAATGTTTGGATTTATTACAAAGTGTTAAATCTACTTGCTAAAAACACACTGTACAATTCTCTTACTGTAGCAGACATTAACAAAGCTCTTCTGGCTAAAAGGAAAAGATTAGAAATGTATACAAAAGCTTCCCTTAAAACAAGCAACCAGAAAATAGAATTTGTTTGGAAAACACAACAGGAACAAAGGTCAGTTACTTCAAGAATCATACATTTCACAGGAAAATCATTATTTAATTCTTTACAAATAGTCCTTGACTTACAACTGTAATTGAGCTTGCAATTTCGGTCCTAAGTCATGACCATTATAAAGCCAGTCTTCATGTGATTGGATCTGATTTTACACACTTTTTTTGCAGCAATCATTAAATGAACACACAAAGCAAACCCTGTGATCACTAAGTGAGCATGGTTTTTAAATGAACTTATTTTTTTGCTATAGGGTAAGCTTTTGCCAGTAAACACCAGCTTCCTGCAAAAACAAAGTGTGGTCACTTGACCGTAGGACACTGCAAACCCCCATAAATGTGGGCTGGTTCCCAAGTGCTCAAAATATGGTCACATGACCACATGGCAGCTGGATATGAGAACTTTGGGTCATAAGTCCCATTTTTGGAGTCCATCATGACTTTTAAGCAACTGGTCATAAGTCAAAGACTATCTGTAAATTGTGACTAAATTTTGTTCAGCATTTTGCTTACTGAAAAACAAATTTTTAGCCCCTGGAGAAATATCCTAGCTGCTTTTTTTAGTATCTGGATTACACATAATGTGAATGAATCTGGATTATATTAACCCGGGGATTTAAAAATAAAAACATTTTTAAACATTTTTTAAAAAAATCATTGATTTTCATTTCTGTTTGTATTTTACAACATTAAAAAATGCCACAATGTTGATACTTAAAGCATTAAAGTCTGCAATCTTCCAGGAGTTCCCACAAGTATGCCAATTTAGTTTGTTAAAGTCACCATTTATTCCACACTCCTGTGGATTTATTCTACAAGATATTACATATTGCACTCTTTGTAATGATAAATATATATTGTAGGCAAAAGGTTAACCATGAGTATTCTCAGCAGTTCCTGCATGTATTTCAACAATGGGATGCCGATATACAGAAAGCAGAGGAACAGGAAGAAAAGCTAGCGGTTTGTTTTCTTCTATTATACTAACCATCAGATTGTTATTTCATGCCAACTTCTCCTTTTTCTTCCTATGATACAGGTATCCCTCGACTTACAAGCATTCGTTTAGTGAACAAAGTTACAACTGCACTGAAAGTGACTTATAACCAGTCCTCACACTTACAACTATCACAACCTCCCCACAGTCATGCAATCAAAATTCAGGCACTTGGCAACCAGCATGTATTTATGACATTCACAACATCCCAGGGTCATGTGATTGTCATTTTTAACCTTCCCAGTTGGCTTTCAACTAGCAAAGTCAATGGGGGGCACCTGATTCACTTAATGACTGCGATTCACTTAACAACTGCAGTGATTCACTTAACTGTGACAAAAAGGTCATAAAATCAGTGCAACTCACTTAACAATCACCTTGCTTAGCAATGGTAATACTGGTCCTAAATGTGGTTGTAAGTTGAAGATGACTTGTATAGGAGAAATTATCAAGCAATAATCAAAGATAAAAGATGAAATATTCAGTGGCATAAAATTGTGTGCATTCCTAACTTTGTGAAGATATTTATTCAACCAGAGTGCAGGAAATTCAAGTAAAATTAGCAAAGTCAAGCACTTCATCAAAATTAACAAAGTCAAGCAGTTTATAAGGTTTGCTTAAAACAGGTGAGATTTAAGCCCAGTTAGTAGGTAGGTAAGAAACCTTTAACTTTCCTTTCTGCCAGAACTGAGTCTCAAACCAGCTATCCCAAATTGTTTTGTAAACAATCTCTTTCCCAAAATAAACTTGGAACATCAAGGATTCAAGTTGAATTCAGGTGTACACAAACAGTTTTGAAACTGAAAATATGCAGCACCATAAAACTTGGAATAAGTCTATTCCTGATATGTCTTTTGTCAACAAGGAAAATTTCTGTAATTGAATTATATCAACTTATTAACCATTATACTTTTCTCCCCTTCAGAATGTATTTCGACAACAACAGAAAGCTTTCCAGCAAGCAAGAATAGTTCAAAATCAGAGGCTGAAAACAATTAAGCAGTTGTATGAGCAGTTTATAAAGGTCATTTTTAAATAAAATGGTAGTTCTGGACATAGTTTTATCAAGTTCACATTTCTACTAATTTTTGTTCCATCATGTAATTTTGAGATCAGTCTTAACAATGCCAGTATAACATACTGGAGTTGATACTATAATCCAACATCTGATTTTCATTACTGGACAAATTTCTTATGTAATATGTAACATCTCAACTATGTTCCACTTTCAAGCTTTCTTCATACATAAATGATGCATGTAGTGATTTTTCTATTATCTTTCAAGCTTTCTTCCCAAATCACTTCAGAACTTGTAGTGCCAAGATTAGTAAATTTCCTCCAAATGAATTTTATCTTGGTAACTTAACATTTCCCCTATGTATGAGATTATGTTCCTCAGAATACTAAACATTTCAAGGATTTAGTCTACATTTTAACTTTACAAATGAAAGACTGTTCTTGATGTGAATTATTGTCCAGTTTTCATGAAGGCAAATTCTAATTGTAGAGTATGGAAGACATGGAAAAGACTCATGAAAGTCTTTTAGCAGGGGCACAGAGTGAACTTCGCAAAGAAATGTCCATGTTACAAAAGAAAATCATGATGGACACAGTAAGTATTTATACTGATTTATGAAAATTTCAATGACTTAAATAGAAAAGATATTGTTTATAATTCACAAGCTAAGAGTACTGTGATACAAAATGTTGCATTTGATCAACATATTTTTCTTTCTTTCTCATAACAGCAACAACAAGAGATGGCAACTGTTCGCAAATCTCTTCAGTCCATGTTATTCTGATGGTTCAGTGGGGAAACAACGTGTACCTAAATAACATGATACATATATACACATTAGCTATTGTGAGGAGAAAAAAAGAGACTGTTTCACATTCCATGTTAAAAATTATATGTGTCTGAATACCTCATTGTTACAAGAGAAATCAACAAGTAATTAAAAACAATATCTGTTTTTTCATTTTCACAATATTATGATTCTTTTATCATAACGTTTTCTCTTCATTTTCAAATTACAAATGTAAATGCCTGGGTTATGACAGTATTTGTAAACTTCAAAATATTATAGTGTAGACTTATTCCTAGTTAGGCACAGTAGTTACAAAAGTCCATTAGCTGAATTAGAAATTCAAGTCAAAATGAAAAAGTCCTAAAAGCGAGGGGGGGGGAAAGCATTATACACATTAAAATAAAGTGCTTTAACATGAGAATTGAACAATACTGTTTACAAATTCCTTACTATCATATGGTAAAATATTACAATATGTTTTCCGGATTTAGTACTGTATTAATTTAAATGTATTAATACGTGGTATAATGTACTATTTGAAGGGAAAATTAGGAGTTAATAAATTGATACATCAAACTTGTTTCGAAAATACAAATTTATGTAATTAAATTAAAAACCCTTAAAGTACCATTGCAGTGATTATTGAATAAAGAGTAAGAAAGCACTAATTTCCAACTGAAATGTTTCTTACCATCAATTGAAATATCAGAAGATTGATTCATTGAGTTTATGAAACAAAAATTTTAAAGATAATTTACATTTTCATACTTCTAACACACATTCAAACATTACAGATGCAGTATATTTATACAGTTATGGAATACTTAGTTAAAGCAATTTATAATTGTTTCAAATCTGATTTCTTTTTTTAAAAATATTAAATATATTTCTTCTATTTTTTCACCAAAATTTGCTTGAAATATTTTATTATATTTAAATATCAAGGTTTGGCACTTATTAATTACCATAATGCCACTCCATTAATTAACAATTTTCTATATAGAATTCACCATGGTTGCATAAGGGCAATTTTTCAACTGAATCTGTAAATATGATTTTGATATAGATCAGCTTATGAGGCTTTTTTTACACCTGATTTAAAATTCAAGGTGATAGATTATTCTTATAATTCTATTGGGTTTTCTAATTTCTAGAGAGATGTTATAATAATTAGTGGTGCAGACTGGAATTTTTTTACTTAACACATAAGCAGTGGCCACTTGGGATTGATTCCCTTATGGAAGTGTACAATAGAAACCAGCAAAAAATAATAACCAGAGAGCAATATTTTAAAAAGAATCAAACTATCCTGATTGCACCTACAACTGCTTTTATTATAGTGTCAAAGTTAAGATGAGACACATTTTTTGAAATCAAACATAATGTCTATTAAATGTGTTCAGTCGTGGCTCCTACATCATATTTGCTTTCCATAACCTAGGAATAGTTTTTGAAAGATAAATTCATAAATTAACAAACTTAATGCCTCAGTGTTACATAACAAAACAAACTCATCTAACAATATAAGGAAAAGAATTATGGTTATAAGTTTTTCTAGAGACATAAACATTCAAAAGGAAGAATACATTGCTTGCTCTGCAAAATATATTCTAAAATGTTAATGTCTATATTATACCAAAAAAATGCATGCATTTGCAACACATTTTTGTAAATGAAAATAGACTTTTTGTTGCTTTAAATGTAGTGGACCAGATTAGTTTATGTTCAAAAATAGAATGGCTTCACATTTGAAAAAAGGGATTGATTTCATTCTCTTATATCCAAAACTTTGAAGTACTTTCCCTCCCCACACCAGCCCCAAATTTTCTTTTTTATAAACTGCTGTCTGGGAAGTTACAATTTGCAATGGCAAAATAGGGCATCCAATCCCATATTTTTATATGATGAAAAGCAAATACAGGTAGTCCTTGGGTTATGACCATTCAACAATCTATTCAAAGTTGCAGTGGCACTGAACGAATGGTACTTAAGATGACTCCTTATACTTCTATCCATTGCAGCATCTCTGTGATCACAAGATCATGATTTCTGATGTTCTCTGCCAGCTTCCCACAAGTAAAGTCAATAGGGAAACTGGTCAAAAATTGCAGCCAATGCAATTTAGTAAAGCCAGCTGGGACTGCTGGAATTGCTGTTGCTAAGTGACAATCCCTTGATGTTGTGCTTTATGACTGCATTATATAATGATGGGAATTCAGGTCCCAATTGTCATTGTAAGCTGAGGACTACAGCTTACAAGAAAAAGTGTGCCAGAGGCCAGAGGCGGAAAATGTTTAAATGTTTCTGTCTACCACAAACTTCAACTGAAAGTCAAAAATGCAAACTATATTTTGTATGACCTGAAAAGAATACCATAGCCTTTTAATCACTGATTTCTTTATCTACATTGGTTAAATTTTTAGCTAATTTGAAAGCTCAAGACAGTACAGAATGTATAATGCTATTTTTCTACCTATATACTAATCGTAAAGTTATTCTCCTTAAAAAGTCAAATTTGTTCATGGAATAGTCCGTGCTAGTGATTAGACTGCTTTAGACTTTTAACCATATGTGTATACAAACAAAGTATTTACACAGGGATTAGTTATCTTTTAACAAAAGCTTCTGTGATTCAAAATAACTACATGTCTTAGTATAATTTGAAATTTTATGAACTCCTTCATATATTTGGTTTGCTTAAAAAGCCTTCAGGTTTATATTTCTTTTAAAACAATATTTTCCATAATTCAAGATTTCCCCCTACTTCTTCTTTTCTTCACATTTAATTATAAGTCACTCATTATGATTGTGAACCTGTTCAAGAGCTTGAGGAGGTGAGATCTTGAAGACTTGTATGTGAAGGTGAGCAGCAATCTGTAGGCATAGTCCAGTAAAGTATCTCAGCAAATCAAACAACGAGATGAACTAAAGATGAAGAAGGGGAAAAAAAAGCTTACAAGTTAATATTACAGCACCTACTGCATACAAGCAGAATTATTCTTACTTTTCTCCTACTACTGGCTCTAGCAGATAATTTAAATTCTTATAAAGCCAAATAAAAAAAAAATAAAGTTACCAATCAAGTGAGAATTGCAGTACTTTTAATATTTTACTGTTCTGTACAATTATAGAAAATATGTCTTCGTATAAACTATAAAGTTTAATTTTCTCACCCTTCCATCCCCCAGAAAGAGAAAATTCCAATTCTGCATCCAGTAAATTACAGAGTAATGAATGATGGTTGCCTCCTCTTCTAAGTTGGTGTTAATACATGCAAATATGATATGTTTCAATCCATTAGTGATAGCTGTTAACAGTAAATCTAAATCATCACGTGGTGCAGTCTTTTTTCTCTCTTCAGTTATGTTCCTGCCTAAACATACACAAATTCACGGCATTCTATTCTCTCTCTTTTCCCTCACTTTTTTTTTTCCACAGGAGTCCGGAAAGCTGAGCTTAAGGGTATTCCCAAAGATTAATTAATTTATTTATTTATTTATTATTTAAATTTATATACCGCCCTATCTCCCTTACGGGACTCAGGGCGGTGAACAGACAAAGATGACAAGAAAGCCTGCTAGGACCTTTCTTGGCTGCAATAAGCAAACAAGTTCTTAAGTTAAGCAGGTTCAAGCTGGATTTAGACAGGAGACAAAGGGAATGTGGGCTATGGCCAGTGCTTTTTTTCTGGGAAAAAAAAAAAGGTGCCGGAACTCACACACGTCATACAATCCGCCTTGCCCTACCCTACAAGGTTCCATTCAAAAAAGGTGCTGGAACTCCGTTCTGGGCGTTCTATGAGAAAAAAAAAGCCCTGGCTATGGCTGAAAAGCAGGTTGATCAGTATAAATGTAAAATGATAATAAACAGACTATATGACAAAAATATGAGACTCATTTAGAAATTATGGAAAATAATTCACTTTCATGATTTTTTTTCATATCATCTAATGGTATGATGGAGTTTCTGCAGAAATGTCCTCAAATAACAACTGGATAATTTCATTAACTTCAAAAATTGAAAAGTCTTTATTCACTAGTCCCTGATACATGTTAATTTCTCTCACCAGTACATGTTCAAGGAAAATAACTAGTTCCTGGTCAAATTAACTTAGCTTCTTTTTCAAAGCATCTTTTTGCTGGTGCCAGATTTCTCCTCAGATAGAAACTCCATCCCCTATGAGTTATAGAAATGACTTATAGAAAAAAAGATTTCACTCTACTCTTTTACAGTAGTTGAGGGGAAATATTTGCTGTATTTCAATAAAGCTGCAATGTATGCGAGTTTTTCAGGGGAGCAACAGGAAAGGATGCATGTCAATTGTATTCTTATTTAAGCTATCTCCTGATTAGTATTTCCTACACATGTTTGGATAATTATGCTACATTGCATAGAGTTTCTAGGGATATGATAAAGATATTGGGTTTCCTATCCCAGTGATCTCACACAATCAACATCTATCATCCATCCTTTCAAAACTACGCTGTCAACTTATAATCATTTTCAGTAATAATGTGATTCTTTTAGCTTACTACTATGGTGCCATTTTGATATCTTTTAAAGACATTTAAAGATTTTTAAATCTTTTATTTTATTTAATGTTTCAGTATGATCCAATAACATTAGTTCTTCTTTAGGACCTCATTTTATCTAAATCTAGATTACTTTGGATAAACTCTAACATAAGTTGGACAGATAAGGAATGACGACATTATATTTTCTTTATAAGACTATATACTTTGAGGAGGCTATTTTAAGACATAAGGGATTTGCGTTTTCAAGGTAGATTAATTCCACATTTTCTTTTCCTTTATTGTCTCGCTGGAAGAATCACTATCCATTATTTGAGGAGCGCAGCCATCTTTGCCTTTTCCTCATCAAGCTGCCTTGTTACAAATAAAGCTACTATATGTCTTTGTACCTTCTTTGTTAAAGACATTTCTAAAATTCTTACAAAATTGTATCATTCATCTCGGACCGCTTTGGTATGTTTCAGTTTTTAAAATAACTTCTTTCAATTCTTGATTTCTAAATTAGATAATCCACTCAAAATTCAAATTACCAAACATTATGTGTAATCATATACAACATTACATTAAAAATACAATACATGCAAATTCAATGGAAATTTACTTACCAGTGCAACCCATAAAACAATATATTCATCAATAAAACAATTGAAGTACTGGTTTAGAAATAAGAGGCCTGGCCCAATGAAGGCAGTGTCTTGAAGTAAGATCTCACTTTTTGTCATGTGTGCTACCTATAAATAGAAATTAAGTTATCTACTAAATTAAGACTTTAGATTGTATTTAACCTTTTGCAATGCAAATATACTATCAACTCTTGGGAGATATTAGAATGCTATAAAATCAAAAACCATTCAAATTGATCTAGAATGTATGCTCAGTAAGAATAGTAAGAATTCACTTTTTAATAAAATAAAAACTACAAAAATATTGAACAGATTTTGTCTGCTAGTAGTGGTACTTAATCACAGATACAAACTTTAATAATTTTGATGTAGAATAGAAACTGTAATATACAAAATATATTCAATGTTTATTAAAACTGGATTTACATGGAGTAAATACATACATTCTAGATCATCTTGATGTCCAGTAAATGTGGCCTTAATAATAAGATCTGAAACTATATTGTTTGCAAATATTTGCTTTGGCAAAATAGTACCATGAAATCATTCATTGTTTTGTTTGTTTGTATTAATAAACCATAATTTGCAGTAAGTGTCTACTTTTAAAATTGAATTTATATACTATCATCATATTCTAGACCTCTAAGTAGTTTTTAAGAAACATATATTCAATTTGCCCACATTAGCTACAATCCTAATCACAGTAATTTGGAAATAAATTTGACTGAACTCAAAGGGCCTGTTTTCTTGGTGAAAATGCATCAAAGAAAGTATTAGTTTGACATTTTTATTAATATCACATTAATCCTGATTTGTAGCATTCTTTAATATGTTAAAATACTTGGGTTACATCAGCTAAACATATTATATGTACAGCAAATATCAAAAATGTTTTACCACCAATTTTTGTGTAATTTTTGCAGACACAAATCCAAAAGTTAAGGCATACAGACAGGGATTATTTTCAAACAGTCGAGTTGGGGATTTTTTGTAGATCATTATTGCCAAAGTAATAATTAGACCAATGTGAAGGCCTGGAGATAAAACACTTGTTCCCTGAAATACATAAAGGCATTTATGTATTCTTTTTAATAAGGTATGTTCTGTTAGTTCTCTCTGTAGCTCAAATAGTAATAGTAAACATAATTAGATGTTAAAATATAACAGATAAATTACAATATAATTAGCAACACCCAAAATATAATAGCCCTTAGAAACTATGCAAAACAATACAATCTACTGAATTTGAATCAAATCAAATCAAATGCATATAGGAAGAAACACATGGAAGAAATCTGCCTTATTCTATCCACATGTCAAACAATTTAGATCTTTAAATATTAAACCAGAATTCTGAATTCACCCAGAATTCAATGGATAATCTTTGCAAACTGGGAGATGAGATTGGTCACCATCTGAAGCTTCCAAATGCTTTTAGAGCAAGCCATAGAATCTTCTAGAGCAGTTTAATTCCTAAGCAATGTAGGGGACGAGGTTATGATGGCAATTGGGACCAGGATTTCCATCGCTAAGCAATGCATTCCTAAATCAAGCCATCACGTGACTGCATCTTGTTTGCCATATAAACCCAGAGATTGTGGGTCATTAAGAGAAAACCTCAAATGACCCCTAGGCAAGCAGCTTGGCAGGTGAGAGCTGCAGGTGGGTGGATGAGTGCTACAGATGGACACATCTCAATGCAAGCAGGCCAGCAGAGGCTGAAGACAGGTGCTTCTGAGTACAGACAGGCTGGTGGGGGATGCAGGCAGGCAAATGGGGCTGGCGAGGGCCACAGGTAAGTGTTACGGATCATGGCCAGGTC